TTTTTCGTTCGATAAAAGCCCTCATTGGCCTGCCACGATTTTATGAGTTCGATTCGGGACAATTTGTAAACTTTTTCTGCGTTCATGATCTGTGTTTCTTGTTCCTGACCTCTGCCAGCTTTTCCTTTCTAGTGAAGTCTCATGTCTTTTCGTGTTTCAACATTTCCTTAATAGGTATATTATCCGTCTCGGTGGTAATATTTGTAAATTCTTTCCGTTTTATCCAGTGCCCTTTCCCCGGGGAGAGCGAGGAAGAAATATTCGAAAATATCACTACACAAGAAGTACGCTACCCCCGATACCTGAGCATGGAAGCCACCGTCATCATGCGGCGACTGATGCGCCGCAATGTGAATCAACGACTCGGCTCGTCCGCTCAGGATGCAGAGGAAGTAAAACGACAGCCGTTCTTCCGCAATTTGGATTTTGTAGCGTTGCTGGATCGCAGATTGCCACCACCGTTTGTTCCCACTGTGGTACGTTCATTGTGATGTTCACTATTATAAACTTAAATTTCGTGTTGTTGGCACATTTGAAGTCCGTTCAACACTTTATCTTTACTGACAATTAAAACAGATATCATTAGCGTTCTCTGTATATCTATATTGATCTATTTTCGTTTTACCAAAATTAACTGTATCATTTCTTCATAGTGCTGTTGATTTGTCTGATCGTTCTCGTTCCCCGAATTAGAACGGTGCGGAGGACGTGTCCAACTTCGACGAGGAATTCACTCGGGAGCAGGCTGTTCTTACGCCTGCGAAGGATCGTGCAGCACTAACCGAGGCGGATCAGGTTTATTTTGCTGACTTCGACTATCTTCCAACTTTCGTGTGAATTAGTTCATTGTGAATCAATGCTCTCAGGAAGCATACCTCTACTGCGACCGACCAGTCCGTCTAAATTTTGGTCCGTCCCTAATCCCTGCACTCACTCTTCTTTCTGAGAGGAGCGGCAGCCACGACAGGTCCTACTCGCTTGTGACCACCGAGGTGCGTTTGGGTTATGGACAAGCGACGGGAATTTTTACTTACAGCTTATGAGTCTAATACCTCTCCATTAATCCCTACTTTCCAATCTTGAATGTTTCCTTTCACCCGCATTCACTGTCTATGTCCGATCAATAACTATACAGCACATTCCCCTCTCAGCCAATCCATAATTCGTGAACTGGAGCCACTTATTGATATCATATATATTTTTTATTCTCCGTTATGTCGCTCCGAGCGTACATGGTCTTTTGTTTGCTTGCCGCCACACCGCTTATTCCGCTATTCTCTCTGAGATTGAATGAAATCGGTATGCCGTTCTGCAAAGATCTCTCCACCTGCCACAACAACTATCCTCCCTTCGGACCGTAATTGTGAACCCGCAATTGGTTGATGCTGTGTGAACCTGGGCACAGCAGTTTTTTCCTCGACTCCGGTATTTGATACTGCCCGGGGAAAGATTAAGCTGATCGCTTTCATGTCTCCGGTTAATTCGCATCCATTACTTTCCCCCTAATCCTTGTTGTCTGTTGGTGTGTCCCACGGTCCTGACGGTTGTGTTTGCTCAATGTTCATTTGACTTCTGACCGTGAATTTGCACGAACTTGTCCTTCGTCGATATCGTAATGCCAATAGTGAAAGCCAAATGGTTTATTAGTTCGACGCTCTTCACTGCCGACTTTTCATCGGTTTCTCTACACAAGTGATTTATTATTTCACTCGTTATTGCGTCTGCAATCCTTGTGGTACGCACTTCCGTATTGATACGGACCATCACAGAGATATATTCAAACACGGGCACTTGGATTCTCCTTCCAGTCCGTCGAGATGATGTGAATTTAATCCTTCCGGATCTTTTCACCCCGGAGTTGTTTTCACCCGATTAATCCTGGTACTATGCAGCCATACTCTTCAACCCTGTGTTGTGCGCGGGGGGAAGTTTGTTTCCATTGGGACATCAAATCTAGAGCACTGATATTGATATGTTTCGTTCATTACTATTCTCCGTGGTGGGTCGTTTATAAGATGTACTTCACTGTCTTTGATCTTTAAGAGTAACAATACTAGTGTTGAGATTTGTTTGATACTATCCATGTATCGTCTTCGACAGCAGTTCGCCGTTCACCCCCTAGCTTCATAATCTTAAGAGTTGAGGGTATGAAAATTTCAACAAGGACTCCTGGTCTCATAGCTCACATTTGACTTCTTGATTGGGTACCTTACCTGTGTTTAGACATACTGTGTCGTAACGGTGGTAGTTGTACATATGCTCACTTTGTGCGCACTTCTGGTGTATTTTCTTTCTGTTTGTAATGACATCTGAAGAAATTGTGCAGCGAGCATCCAGCAGAGATGAAAGAAATCCATCGTTTGTGTTTTGAAGGTTTGGTTGTATCCCTCTTTGTTTTGAGAAAGGAGTAACTAGTTTCTTTGAAAATCTTCTAATGTTCATTAAACCTCTAGATAGATGGCTGAGTCGAGGATGCTTCCGCGTAGAATGTTTTCAGGATTCTTGCTCAGCCAGCTTGTTCGGTATGACAGCGTGGATATCGAATGTGCCCAGGTATTTGTATTTGTATTTTGTGATTGTGACATTTTGGATTAATCCAACCAGTAGCTCTTAAGGGACAGAATCCTAAATTTCGAACTCACAAGGCGTAGGTCCGACATGGAGACGCGACCGAAACAATCGAGTTTGGGCTTCTACGCATCGGTCACGTAACTTATTGAAATTTGTCGTTTGAGATTTGCCACTGACATCTCTTCACACAGTGAGATAGACGGAATGTGGATCGAACAGAACCGTTTTGGCCGGGATTTGCTAGGCTTCGGTGATTGGCGGTCGTTCTGTTAAGTATGAAAAATTTCCCCGTGGGAGCCCTGTTATTTCGTCCACCTAGTTGGAGTTCTGCAGCCAGGAAAATTCATTCGTTGGATCGTCCTCTGCAGGAGTGAGAGTGGATGCTAAAGAATCCAGCTAAGACGCAGTCGTCTGACCTCTTCCCGTTAAGGTTTCGGACGCGATCTATGGTCATGAGAGCCGTCATGTAACCCTTGCTGTGACATGGGGGCACACCGGTCATCGTACTATCTCAGACCGAAGTCCTGTCCTGAAGATTATCACAGTAAAATCCTTATTTTTCCTGGATGACCGCGACTGAGCAAAATGCTTTGATTTGCACAGTAACCGCTGAAACACGAACCTTGGCAAGCCATTGAAAATACATGTGTACCGTGTACCTTCAAATACCTTTGTGAAATGGCTAATCCATAACCGGTATTCCGTAGGATGCTCGAAATCTGCGTCTGTTCTATTTGAGCCAGCATGTGGGTTCCAAAATAGCGAAAAATTCACCCTATCTGCTTATGTTACCAGTTTCTTTACCTAATGTAGCTTTGATAAAAGGGTCTCCTTACTTACAATATTCTGTTCATCCTAAAGAAAAGCCTTCCGTTTTATCGTTTTTGCTTCACCGAGTGATGGATGACCGATATCAAATGTGCGAACACCTGTTACTCCGCTTGATGGTTGACATAGAGGGAAACTGGTTCGAAACACCATGGACCCCACAATATCGTTGTCGAGACATCGAAGTGACCAATCCAGAAACGTGACAAAATAGTTCTCAGGCCGTTTTCGAGTGGGGTGGTGGTGGTGACTATTTCGGCTATTATGATGTGATAATCAAAGGAAGGAATATCCACTGTTTTGTGATGATTGTTTTAATATTCATGGTTCGGAATTTGTCTATCACCATGGCTCTTTGAGATGATTGCATCGCCGATTATGCTACATCGACTACATTCGTTATTTTTTACTAAGTTTGAGGAGATGAGCTTTTCTTGACAATAGAATAATTTTACATTGGTTCTATTACTCAAAAAGTCGGCAAGACGGTGTGTACCAACTACATAAACATTTATCTGATCAAAGTGTCCGCTAAAATTCTCTCAATAATTCCACTCGGTCGCTCTGTGGCAGCCACAAACAGCCGAAACAAGAATAGTTTTGTCGGGAATGAGGATGCTTAGGTCGAACTTC